TGCAATTTTCTGACAGTTTTGCCTTCTTAGACTGCAATATTGATCACATATTGATGAAAAATATCATCTTCATTCAAGGCCGCTAGCCAAGGAACACGACTTAAGTGCACCTTTACAAATCCACTAGCACATAGAAGAGAGTTGCCGCTCACAGCTAAGTCGCAGAACAGCGTAGGCTGGAAGGGCCCCTGGACGGCACCCAATCCACCCTCCTGCTCAAAACAAGTCTCGTTAGATCAGAGTGCTCAGGGACCTGTCTGGGTATCTCCGGGGATGGGGATTCCACAACTCTGCGCAATCTGTTCTAATATTTGACCTATTTCGCTACAAAGCACACAGGCCTTGCGATTTGCCTGAATCATTAATTCGGAAAACTGTTTCTCACGTATTAAAATCATCAAGATCACACTGAGTTCACCCCCTTACAAACAGTGGGGAAAGATGAAGGAGGTGTGTAAGGAAGGGAGAGGAAGGATGAGAGTGAAGACAATTTCACCCAAAACAGAGGAAAAGTCTTTGCGCTACGCTTCAGCAAACCATGAATTTCTGTTCCCTAGCACAGACACCACGACATAACAGCCGATGCAGACGAGGTCAGGGACAGGGGACGAGGAAGAAGAGAAGGGAGACCGTGCTCCCCTTGTTTATCATACTCCTCCTCTATTCAAAACTGCTTCACTGTATCCAGACACAGAAAGATGTTTTTCATGCAGGAACTGAAAATGCCATCTCAGCACCAACTGTTTGCAAACACTCAATCCTCTTAAAGGCTGACAGAAAGAAAATAAGTCTGGTGGCAAACAGTCGCAGGGCCTGCGGTGACTGTCAAGTGTACGGCGTAGGGAAAAAAAATCTTGACTTTGCTGAACTGCTTGACTTCGCTGAACAAAACTGTCAAGTGATCAAAATCCTATCAAGGAATTCCTTCTTTTAGCATATAGGGAAGCTGGTTTCTGTGTCACACAAAAGTGAAAACCCCAAAATTAAAGATGATAGCCCTCTATTTAAAACACCTCCTGAATAATTTTACTGATAAAAACAATCTGTAAGTGCCCCTGAATGAATTATGCTGACAACTACTGGGAACAGGAACTTATTCAGTTCTTCGGAAGATCACTTTCCAGCTATGCCCCAACCCTACGACAGAAGAAGGAGAAAGAGGAAATGGAGCAGTGGTCTATAGTTTTAAAAAAACACCACAATTTAACAGTCAAGATATTCATGAATATGTTTAGCGCTTCTGTATTAACCACGCAGAAACGGTTATCAAAGCACCATGGTATTAACTGCACATTTCAGATTAGGTGTAGGAGGAATAGAGAAAAGAAATGGTGATGAGATGAGACAAAGAATTATGATTTTTCTTCTCTCCCCCCCGCCCCAAACCACCAGCAAGTATTAGCACACTTTAGGTCTGGACACTTGCCAGTTAGCACAAAGGCCAACAAAACCAGAAGCTGCTAGAAATACAATAGTTTTGGGGGACATAAAACCTGAATAACAAATATAGACAGAGACTGACATTAACTACTCCCAACTTCAATAAATACAGCAAGTGAAAGGGGAAAAGACTGAAAAAGCATCATGACAACCATGAACTATTCAAAGTGAAAAACAGTAAATCAAAATTTCAAGTAGGAATCCCTCAGTTTCCTCTTTTTACTTTTTTAAATAACAGGACAGGCCATCTTCACACCCCCAATAGGATGCCAGTCACCAACAAGTTTTTGTGAAGCGACCACCAGTACAAAAAAAGAACGGTGATCTTGAGCGCTGCAGCGTCGTGCTGCAACCAGAAGACGCAGAAAGAAGCAGCAAGCTTTTCTTTCTCTGGAAAAGGCTCGGCGAGTAGCATTTACCGTACCTAAAAAGTTTAAAGAAAGCTGTCAGTTTGCATCTCCTGAATGGCAATACCACACACTGCTACAGAACCGCTGGAGAAAAGGGTAGGGGGACCCAGTGTACTGCCAGGGTTACAAAAACCGTAGCAGCAGCTTTTACCATACAGCGCCCACAAAGGAAAAGGCCAAGCACTTTTCCTCTTCACTCAGCTGTTTTACAATTGCAAGCCAAAGGTCAACTATCTTCACTCACTTTTGGAAACCAGCCACAAGATTACTAACAACCAGCTTAATGGCTACAGTTCAAACGCTATTCAATCAAGTCCCGAATATGTGGGTATGCAGCAGTAATGGCACCATGACATCATAGGCGAGTTATCTGCTGAAATCGGAGGGAGTCAGACAGCGTGCATCTTTGCCTTCTCTGCCACAAAAAGAAACGTGAGTTTCCAAGCAGTGGGAATTCAAGTGTTAGAGATTTTGTTCTTTCCTTAATGTGGCCAAGGCGTAACATTTCGCTATGAAACAATCCTTTGCCATCATCGTATATGCCATCAAACTACCTCGACTTTCCAGAGCTGCACCAAGACAGGCATCTAATAGCTCAATTTAAAGAAGTCTTCACTACACGTCAAGTTACGCGTGTGCCTCAGCAAGGGATATCTAAAGAGCGAAGCGTGCAGGTGTATTCAACGCGTTACAAGTTTATTTCTCTCCCCAATTCACTGGAGGCCAGCAGAACTGACCTGATTAATAGACAGGTCACAGGAGGCACATGAATGGGATGCCCTGAGATTTCTCGGTCATGAGCAAAGCACTAACAAAACAGAGCCGGCGTGTCTGACGGAAATTCATTTCCACAACCTGAAACGCATTTGAAGTGAACCAGACTTTCAAAATGACAAAGCGGCACAGAAGTTTGGCAGTTTAAGTAAAGCGAACTGTAACAATTCTAATTGGTTTTGGCTTACTTGTCTGAAATTTGCCAGCTTTAGACCGTGAACCTTACCATGCTGCACAGAACTCATCTCAACCATGTGCTGAAGGAGGATTCCTGAAACTCTTTGAGTTTCCACTAACTTCAGTGATCATCTTGAGCAATTTACCATTTCTATGACTCAGTTTACTCATCTATGAAGTAAATATGTAAAATCTGTAAGCACTTTCAGAATACGAGCTGAAAGGAAACACAGTTTGAAGAACTGTTCATCACCCCTTTGAGGAAGTGTTCAGCCTAGGTTTTGTGTAAAGTAGGAAAATCCCTCTCTGTATTCTAGAAAAAATACAACGATTAACGTAGGGTAACAGCATACACACCACCATGTTTCTATTATTGTGACAAAAGTTGTATCTATGTGATGACATCAAGTGGCTAGGACTCAAGAACATCTTACTATCAACCACTGTGCGCAGTTGTAAGAGTTTTAGCACAGACTGAACGTTCAAACGTCTAAAAAAAGTTATTCTTCCTTTAATTCCTAGAGAAGAAAATATTTTTAAATGCATACAAATTTTACAAGACTTTCTTTTCCACATACTTCAGCAGACTTCTATACCAAGCTAGAAAATAATTAGGAATACACTTTAAAATAAACTATATTTCATTAGACTTCATTTTTCCTTTCTGTTCAGCATTTTCTACAAGCTGACTTCAGCTGTGCTCTACTTCAAATACACTGTAAAAGCTGAGGGTAGCTAGTGGTAACCCAAAATAAAAGAATACCACTCAGGTTAAGAAACGTAAATGCAAGGTTATCACAGAAGACTTCTAAAATTCTGACAGTCTCGAATGTTTAAAAACAGCAAAAGGAAATATTCTGGTAACTTACATAAATACTGGAATTGAGGTGTACAGGTCTAACAGGTGTTTTTAGGCGTGTAGGATATATACAGATGCGATTATTTTAAGAGTTAACAATCTCAAAGCAGGATACATTTTTGCAACCTTTATCTGTTGATGGCCACACACCATTACTGCACTTTTAACACAGCCACAGTTATGTTATTGAAATAACAGCTTTAAAAGACACACATTAAGTTTACACGTAGAGGTTGTTTTTTCCAACTTATCTTAAAATAGTAGTTAAAATCGAGCCCTTCCCTGGCAAAAATTTTGAGCAGATGAGTAATCCCACTGAGGTCTGCAGGACTTGATTTGTCAGCATACACAACGTTACAGCCTTATATCTGCAGGATAAGCACCTCGCAAAACAGTTTCTACTCAAAGCGTTTTAAAAAGAAGCAGCTTAAAATACTTTAATACTAAATAGATCACGCTAGGAAGGTAAAACCCATCTTATATGTTCACGGAGAAATACTGACTCTGAATGAAACTCCATTAAAACATTCCGCAATATGGCGCTCATTACTTGGAAGCAACAAAGCTCAGAGCTATGCTTCACTGAGGCCAAATCACTCTGGATTTTTATATTTTACTCCCCCCCAAAATAAAATTTTGGGCTTGTTCTGTGCGTCCAGTTTTTTAAAACAAAGTTTTAGAAATGCAAATGTTTCTCAAATTCCTTTACTATGGCCAAGATGAAGCCTAAAAAGCCCTTGATGTATTGAAAGAACTATAGACCAAAATTCCTCTAATGCACTCCAACATCCACTTACATCTGCACAGATCCATTAAATATTCAGCCACAAGCTTATCACTCGAGTTCATCAGGACTGAAGATAAAACTCAGCACCAATATTTGACAGCCTGATGCTAAAAGATTATCTACTGAGAAATAATCTAATCACTGTTCTTTGATATTGGAATCCTTGGCAGGAGGCAAAGGAAAGGAATACCAAATTGATCTCAATTACTTTAAGGGGTTTCCTCTCGCAGAAGGGAGTTCAGTGTCGAGATTATCTTGCACTTCTGCTTATTTGCTACCGGGTTGACGACTAAGTTTTCAAATATTCCAGTCTCGGAGGAGAGAAATGAGAGACTTTGGGAGGCATGCTTAACACAGGAACAGAACAGCCTCTCCCGCTCTTAAAGAGGTCAGACTGCGGTTGAGGAAATCTTGAGGTACCCTGGTGAAAGGAGAGGGCGTTTGCCGGGGAGGCAGGGGAGGGTCAGGTCTGACGGACAGGAAGAGACTCCGGGGAGAAGCCGAAAAGCCCGGGGCGAAAGAGGGAACTCCCGAGCCCTTACCCTCCACTTACCTTAAGGATATCGCCCCGTTTGAAGCTCAGCTCGTCGTCCGCGGTGGCTTTGAAGTCGTACTTGGCGATGGCTTCCATGCTGGGGCTGCCGCGCACGGCGGTGGGCAGGAAGCGCTCCCCGAAGCCTCCGCTCCTCCCGCGGCGGCTCCCGGCTCAGCCCTCCCGCGGCCCGGCTCCGTCCGAGGCGCCGGCCCCGTCTCTCACATACAGGGAGGCCGGGGGACGATCCGCCCTAGGGGAGGGGGAGGAGGAGGAAGAGACGGGCCATTAGGGGAAGTG